CTTCTTAGTCTCTTCATCTTGCCAGCTAATTGCAGATGCAACAACTGATGATGGAGCTTCAAGCACTGAGTCAAGATATATTGCTCCACTTGACTTGACAAATAAATGTTGCAGCCAATAGCTAGGAATGCCATAATTTCTATAAGAATCGAATACAATTGCATCTGGTAGCCACCTGTACATCCATAAAAATTTACAATAATTTTAATATCTCTCTCACATGCATGCACGTAATAAGATAAAAAAGATATAATAAGAATATATTACCTCTTCTCATTAGCATGGTCATTAGCATTTATGAATAGTGGTGCATAACTAACCATTTCAACTAGATCACTGCATATTAGAGAAAAGAAAAATATTAATAAAAATTTCATCTTTGTATTAATGAAGAACAATAAATTGACAAATAATTCAGAGTTAAAATAATAACAAACCTGTTCTTCTCTAGACCCATTAGGAAAGCAGCTTCACCTAAAGCTGACAAAAGGGTTCCATTGCCAGCATCTTCTTGCCAAACTGCGTATTCACTAACAAAAGCCTTTGGACCAGTACGATTTTGATGATCAAACATGTTATACTTGGAGAAAATATCCTTGGAATTTGTATAAATGTGGAAGTCATAAAAATCAGCTGGCATTTCCAAGGTTTTTTAGTAGCATCACAGTTTGAGATGGTTTTTATATCTGGATAGTGTTGCTTGATGGCCTCATAAAACTTGAGATAATTTCCCAAATAGTTGTATTTGTCACAATCCTCGTTTCCAATAGCCACATAACGTAAATCAAAAGGCTCAGGATGCCCAAGCTTGGCTCTTAACTTGCCCCACTTTGATGAGACAGAACCTCTTGCAAACTCAATTCCATCTAAAGCTTCCTAAAAAATTAATAACAAAATATGTTATTTAACACAATAAGAGATAAAAATATTTGTTAAAAAAGTCATAAAAATTTAGAGTTATATACTTGCACAAAAGGAGCAATGTCAGACGTATTGACTTGATCATGATGACTTATACCATTGTTGAACACCCATATTGGGAGTGCATTAAGATCCTCTGCAAGCTGTTTAAGAGTAATAAAGTATAATATTAATATATATAAGAATATAATAAAATATAAATAAAAAATTAAAAAATACATACTTGCAAAAATTCTAAATAGCCAAAGCCATCATCAGTCCAATAACCCCACATATCATTGAAGTGACCGGGTCTTTTCTCCCATGGTCCAACAGAATCCTTCCACCTAAATGCATTTCTGAAATAATCTCCTTCAACATAACAACCACCTAATGTATTGGAAGAAAAAAGTATAATTTTAATAAAAGATCATAACAATAGATTATTTTGAACAATATCATATTTATATAAAATGCTTTATTTTTGTATACCTGGAAACCTAAGAAATCTAGGTTTCAAATCTGCAATCATTTGATAAAGATCCTTCCGAAAACCATGACCCTATAAAAAAGAGAGAACAAAATGGTCACATAAAAGAAAAATGAAGTGAAAAGAATAAATAATGGTGTAATTTTCACATGGCAATAAAACCAAAAATTTCAAACCTTGTATGTGTCTACAGGCATAGCTGAGACTTGATCTAACCAAAATGTTCCCTGCCTTCTTGTTGTTATCTGAAGACTTGAATTGAAATCTGATGCCTTGGCTTCAAGAACAAACTCTACCTTCCTCCACTTTGGAACATATTTCCTATATATATATATATATATATATATAAGAAAGCAAAAGTAAATGGTTAAATTATATATAATTTATATTTATATTAAATTAATAAGAATGATAAATAAATGTAATTCACCTAATGTTTTGAGAAGCCAGTTCTCTTCCATCTGCTCCCACGAATGCAACATTCAGATCAATTGGTTTTGGTGATCGCACATAGAAAGCCACTTTATATTTTTTCCCCTCCTCAATATTCTAAAGAGATAACATATATAAAAGCAATAAAATGTCAACTTAATGAGTGATATATTATAAGGAGAAAACTGTCTATTTAATTAAATAATTAAAAAATAATAGTCTCACCATGCCCCAAAAACCAGGGTTGGAAATACCAACAGGTACTGAGGTACTATTGAAAACGTCTAATTTCACAGCAATTTTATTGCGAGGAAAAGGAGATGAACGCTCAGTAGCCACGAGAATAGCTGATTCATCTCCAATAACAGACCATGGAAATATGGTTGAAGGAACTTGAGAACCTCCAGCTTCAAAACCTTTATTGATTCATATATGCAAATTAAAATTCATGATGAATTATATTCATGAAAAGAAAGTATTAAAAAAAATAGAGAAACAACTTGGAGAAATTAAAGTTGAATAATTAATTACCTCTATTGTCAACAAGCTCAGCCCATAATCCTCCAGCTCCAGCATGGTTAATTTCCTATATAAGATTAGGAGAAGAATTAGTCGTTTTGTTTAAATAATTCATGACAAAAAATATTAATCATGCAAGATCTGAATTTACCTCAAAAAATATCCCAAAGAAAGTCTCTGGAATTTTTCTTCCAAACTTGGCATTCACGACCAGTGAAGGGGTGGGACTTTGAAAATCATCGCCAGAAGCTTGAAAAGCAATGCAAAACAAAGAGATCAAAAGAGCTGTAAATAGAACTTTAAAAGACGCCATTGCTATGTACTCCTCTTGTCACTTGTGCTTCTTCCTGAATGTTGGTAGGCTGTTATTTATAATAGAGAAGAGTTTGAGTTAGAAAGGCTAAATCTGTACAAAATCTCTAAGTTTTTTTTGATAATAATATGATAACATATTAGATAGATCAGATTATATTGATAAATTGGAGATGGAATAATATACTAAAATATAAGAATTTTTTTATACATAATCTAAAATAATATAAAATCTTTAGAAATAAAAATTTTAAAATGATTCTCGAAAAATTTTGAAAAAGAAAGTCGATTAACATGATCTGCAATATTTTATATTTAAAATACAAAATTTGAAACTAGAAATATTTGTTAGGAAAAGACAAGAAGATTTAAAAGTTGAGACGTAAAAAAGACGAGTTAAGTTATTCATATAAAAGAACACACATGCTACAAATTTTATGATGTGTGATGACTTCAATAGATGGAGAAAAATCAGCCAGATCAGAGGTGGAATATTCTACGAGGATATTATGTTTTTTAAACACAATTAAAAATTAATTAAAAAATATTTTAATTTTTATTCACATAATTAATATATAGGGGATATAAACTTGTATGTGTGTGTATTTCAGTGTTTCAAATTATAAGAAATATTTATATATGATGAGATTTTTGGAAATAAAAAATTTAAAATGAATCAAAACATGAATAAAAAAGTGGATTAAAGTGCTCTGCAATTTAAAAGATATTCAAATGCAAAATTTAAAATTTGAATCTAGAAATATTTGTTAGCCAACATGAAGAAGATTTAGAATGTGAAACCAAAAAAAAAAAAAGGTTAATCAAATTATTAGATACTGTAAAATAAGATCTGATTCAAATAAATTGACATAAAAAAGTTAGGAAAAAAAGGAAGATATGTTCTCCGTACAGGAAAAGAAATCTATTTTACCACTTAATATTGAAATATTGATTATCATCGACGACTCTAATATTTCATAATGTGTGATAACTTTTATATTTTGTTTATGATAACATTATTTCTATATTAGAGTATATATTGGATCAATTTGTAGTTAATATTAAAAAACTGGTAGATAATAAACTTATATATTTAAGGTATATTTTCCCCTTGTTATAATTTGAATGGAATATGGAAATTATGCATAAAATTAAAGTAGGATGAAGATAATAATTCACTGTTCAAACCCTCGTTACAAATTTAAAATACTTTATAAAAAATTTAAAATTTCAAATCACAAGTTTGAGAAAAAAATTGATATTAAGGGGTTTAGCCTTTTACGAAAATCTTTTTATTTTTAAAGTTATCTATCTGCCATCTATATGTATGTATGTACGTATAAAATCAGAGTCAAATTTGCTTTGGCTTCAGCCACATGATATAGGATATCCTTTGGCTGGGCAACGTGCTGCTTCTCATTGAATCATGTCATCTGTGGGTGATATAGTAGTTTTTAATAAATTTACTTTAAGATCAAATGCTTCAGATTTCAAAATCAAAAAATTTTTATTTTAAAATTATTCTGATTAGTTTAATTTCTATATATTATTTCCGTTTCTGGAAAATGAAAATTGATATCATATCTTTCAAATGTTAATTATAAATTTTCAAAACTCCCTCATTATGTCCCTCCTAGCTTCTTCTATATGACTACATCTCCTCTTTCATTTTAATCTTAATTTTCAAATTTTTTAAATATAAATTATCAATAGTAGTAAAAAAAAAAGTCATGATAAGATGTTAAATTTAAGTTTGTTTGGATATATAGAAAATGTTTTTAAGATAGCTACCTCAATTAAGCCCAACAAATATTCAAATATGACACAATCATATGGCTATATAGAAAAAAAAAAAAGTACTTTTCAATAGTAATATATCCATAATTATAAGTCATAGCAATTTTTGCATTTGGGAAAAAAAATGCTAAAGTTAGTGAAAGAGGATAGGATTTTTGTTGGGTCTTTTGTTTTCCTTTCTGCTGTTTTTGGATTCTTTGTTGCTTTTGTTCTTGATTGATTTACAGTTTGAATTTAAAAAAAAATAAAAATAAAATGCTGAAGTAGTTTCCGCACACATTTTGTTCGCGGACAAAAGCTCCTTACGTCCTCGGCACGCTCAATTCCGTGCATGTTTTTATATACGCCCAAAACATAGAACCAGGCCCAAATCTTGGCTTAAGTCCAAGTAGTTAGCCCATTAGGCCCATTCATAGAATCCTTAGAAAAGCCCATCTTATGGCTCAAGGTAGTAAGAGTCTAACAGACCCATTCTTGTTTCCATGTTCCATCATGGCTTGGACTTGGGGTGAAGTCCAAGCTAGCCTTCGTATGAGTCTCCGTGCTTGTTTTGTTTTTTCAAATTTTATATTTTTAATTTCTGCCGTGGTTCGTGTGTTCGAATTCGTGAAGCTCGTCCCTGGTCCGTCGTGGTGGTTCGTCTTCGTGCCGTGCCTTTGTGAGCTCGAGTTCCGTCCGACGTCGGTGGTGTGCGCATCATCTTCAGGTAACTGGCGTATTCTTCCTCTTTCCCTACCTGAAATTTCTTTTATTTCTTAGAATACCGTAAATCTGTATAGAAGGAGGCAAGCAAAGCGCTCATGTGCATTAACCTTTTATGCATATATCTTAATCGGTTAATGTTGGCTCTTATTTGTTTCTGTAAATTAAAAAAAAGCACAATCACTGAAGAACCTAAAATTTCCTTACACAATAGGAAATGCATGATCATAATTTGCTTCCGCTACGAGCCTTACGGATTTATTTTTATTTTTGTATGAAAAAGCTTTGCAGTTTTTTATTTTTTTAAAATTTAAAAATAAATTCAGTGGCTGATTCAATAAATTACGGTTCTATTTCACTCTCAATTTCTCGTCAACAGAAAACCTAAAATTAGAAGTGAGTCTCGGGAAGATGTCGATCTTCGAGTACAATGGAAGTGCCCTAGTGGCTATGGTGGGTAAGAACTGCTTCGCCATCGCCAGCGATCGGAGGCTGGGTGTTCAGCTTCAGACTATCGCCACTGATTTCCAGAGGATATCCAAGATTCACGACAAGCTTTTCATTGGTCTTTCTGGCCTCGCCACTGATGCCCAGACATTGTAGGAATAGTATCTACCCCTCTCAATTTCGCCTCTTGTTCTGGTTTTGTTTATTTATTTTTAATTTCTTATTGCTGTTCGCTCATACTCGAAGGTATCAACGGCTCGTCTTCCGGCACAAATTATACCAGCTTCGGGAAGAGAGGGATATGAAGCCCGAGACATTTGCTAGCTTAGTCTCTGCTATTCTGTACGAGAAAAGGTAGTCAGATTTCATCATATCTTATTGGATCAGAATTTTGCACATTAACTTACTTAATTGCTGCCTTGTCTTTGTGGGAACTTGTGATCTTCACAATGATTCTAAAAATAGGAAGTTCATATCGAAATTCAAATCATGCCAGTTTGAAATGTTAATGCTTCTTTTGCTATCCAGGTTTGGCCCATACTTTTGCCAGCCTGTAATTGCTGGATTAGGAGATGACGATAAGCCCTTTATTTGCACCATGGATTCAATTGGAGCAAAGTAAGTTGACTCTTCTTATAATCCATGTCCATTTTTGAAAGCGAATTTGTAATTAGCTCAAACTTGTAATTGCATGTTGGCTCTTCTTATAAAGTGTATTCATATTTCTTGTTGAAAAATTCTGTGCATGTTAGAGTTGAAATTATTTGTAGAACTACGTCAGAAGCACATTTAAACTCTGAGAAATTAAGATATATGCATGGACAGCAATACTACAAGGAAATGTAGACTGCACTCCCTCCCTTCTTATGCCCAACCATCGGTTCCGATATATATGAATAATGATAAGAATGCATGTTGTTTTCAATTTTCCTTTCCTTCCCACCTATTCCGCCTCTTAGTTGTTAGAATAATACGTAAGTTATATACCTTATTATGAGTATGTTTGTGATAATAATATCTTTGTATTTTTCTTGTATGCAGGGAGCTTGCAAAAGATTTTGTTGTTGCAGGCACTGCATCTGAGTCTCTTTATGGTGCTTGTGAGTCAATGTTTAAGCCTGACATGGTCTGTCGCTAAATTTAACTTGATTTAATTTTTATATGACTAGTTCTCTTCGTGTTTTTGAAAATTGGTGCTGTCATGTATATTTTCTTCCATGTGTCACTACTTGCAAGTAAATGAATGCTGAGTGAGCATCTTTCAACTGAGATGTGCAGTAACTACCAAACCTTAATTTGGATGGATCGTTCCTGACATTAGATTCAGACTATTATCCCTTTTTTTTTGTCATGCAAGATATTTCTTCATATTATTGAAATAGTCTTAAACTCTAGTTGTTTTGGTTTTTTTGGCCTATGATTGTTACACTATTGATGACGGATGAAGGGAAGATTCCACTTAAAGGTCACAGCATAATGACACTAAAGGATCTCAAAAATTAAAATTCCTCTAAAAACAAAGGAATAAGTTACCTCTCATATGCATTAAAACTACAACTTAATCTTCCCAATGATACGAGAGTATTTAATAGCAAGTCCAGAACACTTTTTTTTTTTTTTAGTGTCACTTTTACCCATTTATGGCTCTTGAGGGGGATTTTCCCAAGATGAAATTGTAGGTTTTAAGGTTCTATACAGATTGGCTTGTTCTTTTCCTCTTAATGGAGGTGGACAAGACAAGGTTTTGTGTGTTTGATCAACACAATATTGACGTCTGGAATGCATCTGAGGACGCACTTTTTTGTTGAGGACATGTCATGACTTACTGAATGTCACTATGCAAGTATGCTTCTGATGGACATTTAATTATTGAAGATATTATATCATTGAGTCGAACATCACTTCAAAAATTGATCATATTATCCTCACTCTTCCCTGGGAGAGAAGTGGCATAAACTCACCAATGTCCTTTCTTGTGTTCGTATATTTGATATTAAGAAATTGGTCCTTGCTCATCAATAGAAGTTAGTTTGGTGGATATTCCTCTCCAAAGAGATTAAGCTCATTTCTTTTCCCATGATTTCTCGTGTCTCAGGAACCAGAGGAATTATTTGAGACCATCTCCCAAGCACTGCTTTCATCTGTTGATCGTGACTGTTTAAGTGGCTGGGGTGGACATGTCTATGTTGCGTGAGTTTGTGATTCTTTTTTTTCTCTTAGTAGCTGGCAATATTCCTTTATGTTGCCAAAGTGCTTGTCCTATTGCTTTTATGCTCTTACACATTCTACAGCCAATTGGTTGGATGGTAATTGGTGTGCCCCTTTACATGTTTTAGGGGAAAATATGTTGCCATAGTACCTCGTGACTGTGTAATGATAAATGCTCAATCAGGGTGGAAGTTAAACACTTTTTGCTGCTTGGATCCACCTTGGATAAAATGTCACTGAAACATCGTGATGGAAAATTCCAAGGATAAATAAGGGAAACTTATTTTTGGGAGAATTATAATTAAGGATTATTTTATAATAAAATTTGCAAGAAATGTGCTGTGCACTATTATATTTTATATTGGTGTTAATTAATATATTGAGTTTTTGTCCCCAATTTTATTTTGGGGATTTTTTCCCCAAGAAGAGGAGGCTGGTTGTGCTCAAGTTATATGTTTCGATATTCTTACCTCCGGGTTACATATTTCTGAATTTTTTCCCCCTTCTTCAACTTGAAACTGGGGCTTTTAGATCCTCCTTAAATTTATATCACATTCTAGTTGTGTTTCTGTGCCCTTTCTTGATATATTTATGTGGTAGAGGCTGATTTGTCTATTGATTGACACTTGCAGTACGCCCACAGAAGTAAAGGAAAGGATCTTGAAGGGACGAATGGATTGAATTTCAAGCCACCCAATGACCCATTTCATATCATCATGTTGTCTGCTTAGTTCAGGAGCTGTATGGAGGAGATCATTTACGGCCCCTTTATGTCAATGGGTACCTTTTTATTGTGGCACTTTAAAAGGAGGCTCGGGATCGTTTAGCCTGGTCTCGCATGTTATGAATGAAATTATCAAGTGTTCAGATTTGTTTTAGTGGGTACCCTTTGTCCTTATTAGATGTGTCATCAAAATGATGAGATTGAGACCCTCTAAATTTAGCTTCGATTATTCTGATTTATAAGTGTTTAATCTGTAATTTTTTTTTTTTGTTTACATGATCAATTTGTTTTGTTTGTCAAACGACAGTTATACAATCTTTTTTTTGTTTATTAGATTTTACGTCTATTAAAATGAAGTTATTTAAAAATATGAAAGTTAAATTAAACTAAATACGGACCATCCAAATTCAATCTAAGCAGTTCATATTGATGAAGAGTACCTTTTGATGAGCAAGGAGAGGAACTGGTTCTGATGTACTTATCAACCATGCTCTCGACCAGATTCCACAGGAACTTTAAAATTACTCATCATAGAGGCTTTTAAAGCCCCATGCCCTTCTATGTTATCTCTTCGTTTGTTTAAAGACGTTTTACGATGGAAATTCAAGAAAAATGGCGTTCTCTTTGAAATCTGCCTAATCTTTCCCTTGACAGGTATGCACAGGCTCGTCTTTGGAAGATAAAGATGCGCCAAAGATGCCAGACTTCTCTCTGGTTGGCTTTGCATGATCGCCTCATTACCATCATCGAAGTAAAAAGAGAGGCCTTCGATTAAATTTTTTTAAAGGGTAGGGAAGAATTATCAAGCCGGCAAGAACGAAAACAATGGTGAAACAAAAAGGTAAAATGAAATCTGAAATGTTGAATCTTATTTTCTAGTGGACTCTCAAACCGTATTTACATGACCAGTTGAACAAATGCCTGTCGTAATTGGACACCATCTCCGCTTGTCATTTCGCACATTAGATACCTTTTACCTGAAAGCACAAGTATATCTAATTTCTTAAGCAGCCTAGCATCCAGAACTACTCTATCATGCTGGACTTTTGAGTTTGGTCCATCATTTTGACAACTATTGGATTGTAAACAACTACACACATGGGAGTTCAATCTATCAGTTGCATCAAGAATACGCAAGGAAACCATACACATCTTGTTACGACTAGAAAATAAAGGTACGTTATCCCGCTTTCAGGTTCCAGTGAAACTAGCAACCAAAACAGAAACAGATCTGAAGACTGCAAAACCCTCACAATCATGAAGAGACTTGCATAGAGAATGGTCCTGCCGAAAGGACAGTCTCTTCATCATGATGATTCTCCAAAACTTTCAAACTTTTTTGAAGAATGAAAGAATATTGCCTTGTTTAGGATCCTTCGGGTTTCCTAATTTCTTGTTTCCTCCTTTTCCAGTAGGATTAGGAGTGGCATTTGCTGATGACTTTTTAGCTGCCGGAACCCTGGAATTTCAGACCCAATGAATGAATTCATACATTCTTAATAAGTTGGATCATGGCAGTAAAGCATTACACAAGAAGAGATGTTAATAATATAAGCCAAGAAACCAGTTGAAGCATGAAGGGAGTCTCAAGCTATAGAATTCTCGCTGTAGAAGTTGTCAAAGACGGAGAACTGATAGGTGACATGAGTGGCAAGCTATGTATACACTTAAATTGTTCACATAAGAGGGAAATCATAATTTAAGCGGTTCTTTTTACATTACAAATATGTTTCACTTCTTATATAAAAAAACTTTTAAGTAAATATAGAGTTGTTTTCTCAAGACTAACTGACCTTAAATGGCTGAGTAACTTGGCTTTTCTTGTTTAAAAACTGACAGAAATAATTCACACAGTTTCTGGCAAAATGAATGCATATTTAAATTAAACAAATAGATGACAAACATGGCAAACAAAACATTCCAAAACTCATGGAATCTTCCTCCTAGTTCATCCAGGAGGCAAGGTGCTATTGACTCCAAGAAATCAGTGTCTGTACCAGTTAAATCAATGACAAAGATTTACATTATCTTACAATGAATAAACAAAAAGAACGAACTCTAACCTGTTGACAGTAGTGGTAGATGCATCCTTGTCATCTTTCTTTGTGGTAGCATTATCAGCTTTCTTTGCTTCTGTTTCCTCCCCCTCCCAGACAACTTCCGTTACTGGAGAAAAGATTAGCATGCAAACAAGATACAGATAAGATAATAAAACAGGATCCTTGCTACAATAGGACTGGAATAACACTCGAATTACTGATACTGATAAAATGAAACAGAAATTAATCCCTGGACAGGTGCTTTAACGCCCAAGTTACACCAATATCACAAAAGTGGCAACAAGAATCACTTAAGTACAAGCGCAGAAAAACATACACAACATACCCAACAAACAAAAGAAACAAGTCATTCACTAGCTTTCAAGAGGCCAATTCTCTTTACTTTGTTTACAGAATTCTTCATCACCCTTTCTCAGTACCCTTCAAATACCCTTTCCAGCCACTCCCCAAATGTCAACTCGAAAAGAAAAAAACGAAAGAAAATCATCATTATCTCCCACCTCCTTCCCCTCTCACTCCCATTTATTACCTTCTGTATGTTTGGGTTGCTTGAGTGGGTTGAGTCCATTCAAATATAGTAATAATCAACTTATGGATAATGAAATTCGTTTGGGATTTTAATATGAACAACCCCCAAAGCATGCAAAAAGTGCAGGCATTAAGTCCGCATTAAAAAACTAGAAAATTGTCTTCTAATTTGAAAAGGGAGAAAATACAAGCTACTCTATCACATTCACACATACTTACAGCCCATATTCTGAGGCAATAATGAAGCTGTATTGTTGAAATATTGAATCTATGCATACAAGTACCTTCTCTCCCGCGTTCATCAATCCTTGTTTTCAACACTTTTCTCCTCTTAGGTGAACAAGGAGCAGTATTGTCTAGATTATCCTTCTTATTTACACCAACTTCAGGAGCATACTTTTGAGTTTTATCAGCAGATGACTTCCCAATACTAGTGCACTTGCTGATAACTGAACTATCTTCCCTCGGTGATTGGTTTGTGCTCTCTTCCTTGACCTTACACTTATTGTCAATTTGCAAGTTGTTTGAAGTGCCATTCTCTGATGAACCTTTATCATCATGTTTGTGGTCCTGTGATGTCAGTCCTTTTGGTAATTCAGGTGATGCTAGACTAATAACATCTTCCTCATCTTCATCTGAGAAATCAAGGACAACCCTCCTTTTCCTGGAACGTTCACTAGCGGATGATTTCCTCAAGGTAAAATCTTGACTATCATTATCACTGCTGCCAACATCTCCTCCTTCACGAGCACTGATTTGGGCTTCTGCACTAGCAACTGTAAGGGGGGGGGGACAGAACTTTAGTAATAATGATTATACTGAAGATGCTTTGTATATGTTGCTGTTACTATCACCCAAAAAAATTGATGATCTGGAACAAACCAAAGGGAATAAACTGCAATGAAAACCAACCGATAGAATTTGACACTGCATTACTATTTTCTACAGGCACAGATGAAGGCTTGGATTTTGCAGCTGCACGACCCCATAGATTTGCCAGTGAACCTCCAGAAGCAGAGCTTTTATCAGCTTGCACTTTCTTTTTTACTGTGGGCAAGGGGAAGGACTTTTCTTTATCTTCAGGCTTATTGACATGCTCAGACATTCTTGCATTGACTGTACTGTTGCTTTCACTTTTGACATCTTTCAGCACATTATGTGATTTTGGAGCAACTTTGGGAATGGACTCCGGTACACCCAGGTCTGCTGCAGGTTTTGCCTGTTGAGCAGCAGGAAATGATTGTGGGCTGTCCGCATTCCGTCGAACAAAAGAATTTGAAATCCCACAGAACCTAATAAATATAGAAGTCAGCACCCAGAGAGCCCCAAAATGTCTCCAAGTTGTAAGGGAAAAAATAAGGACATCATATCTAATGCAAGGACTGATATATGACGCATGTGCACAGGAAGAACACTAAGTAATGGGCGGAGAGAGATTTGATAACTAGAGCTTCAATTGGGTGCATTCTACATTGAAATGTAGGGACGTTAAGATCTGAAACTGGAAGTAACCAGTCACTATAACGCGTCCCCAGAAGATTGAGAATTGATATCTTAAAATTGGGACTGATTATTAAATGTTGATCCAAATAATTTTGGATGGCATAAACTAATTTTAATATGTCATAGCAATTCTTCAATTTTAAAGCTGTCTCTTCTAGTTGATCTAAATACAAGGTAAATTTTCAGAAACATTTTCCCAAATTTTTAAAGGAAAAGAATATTTGAATCTCATTGGTCTCATAAGTATTGCACCTATCCCATCAATCAAATTGCTTCTTTGAGAAAAACAATTGTCACAAGACAAGGCACCCACCTGTTATCTCTCAAACAATTGTCTACTGAGGAAGGCTGCTTGAAGAGCTCCTCTGCTTGAACGAATTCTGCATTCCATAGCACAGCTGGATCCTTTGGAATGCTAGCTTGCACACTATAAACCTGAACTGAGCAATTACCATCAAATTCCTTTTGTACTTCTGCATAAACGATAAAGCAAGTAATTCCACATCATTCTTAGTCCTAATTGTCTGCGACCCACTCCATATTAGAAGTAAAATGAATAAGCTTAATTAAGCTGTTCATGTCAAATGACGAGAGTAATAAGAATCTAATCCAGATTTACTAAACTAATCCAGGTTTTGCAGAATCAGTTACCAAGTGACACCATAACCTCAATTGGAAAATGGAAGAGTAATTAATCATTAGTGGAGTTAAAAAAAAAAATATGACGCCATAATATATGAGATGAGTTAATTTTGTGGCGCTTTTAATTAGAGTTTACCAATATAAGCAGAGAATCCATTTCAACCCAAACATTTGTGGAGTTAATTTGAGTAGAATTTCGAAGTATGATTTAGTTCAGGCGTGCATCTTAAAATGTAGGCCAGTATAGGGCTTATTTGTTTAAGATTAACCAAAAAAAAGAAGTGATTTTGATTAAGCTACATGGGGAAGTTGTTGGGATAATTTTAAGCTAAGCATGAGGGGTTGTTGGAAGAAATTTGTTTTCAGCTTATTTTGATAAGATAATTGAAGCTAAAAATAGATTTTCTTCCGACAATTTCTCATGTTTAGCTTAAGGTTCCCTCAAAAACTCCCTCATTTAGCTTACCCAAAATCACTTTTTTTTTTTTGTTAATATTAAACACACAGCCCAATAATCAGGTGGATGTGATATACAGTTATAAACTGGAATCAATCCCACCTGACCAGGATGTATAACGGTATACTCTAATGCCCATAGACACAATCAAAGTGAAACAATCTGAACAACCAGTGTTTTCTGTCATTTTCTCTGTAGTTGTCAAATTAGACTTGCACTCGACCACATTATTGCTAATCTGAAAATATTTTGGAGGTGGAATTGCATCATAATCTAGAACAACCAGTGTTTTTAAGGATTGCAGAATGATCATACCTGCAAGCTTTGGCCCAGCAACAAGCCTTACATGGTAACTTGGAGAATCATTCTTTAACCAGCCAGACAACTTGTATATCACTTCAAATCCAGTTCCATGCTTTTGAACAAACTCCTGAAGTAACCTATACATATATATATATAAAGCTTTCAACTACTTGTAAAATCACACATGGGGAACATGAATGGCAGTTCCGCCAATATATTGTTTTTAAACAAGAAAAAGAAAAGCTTACTTCTTTGCAGCATCAGATGACACCATATAATTGCGACTTAGCCATTTGTAAGATACCTGAAAGATGTCATACAGTAAACTTACCAAATAAATTGTTGCATAAAGAGTGATCATAATAATGGAAAAACCATTGCCTAAACTACTTTTACAGAATACAGATAAGGGAGATAACCAGAAGAAAATCACAAGGGATTGCAAAGTAAGAGAGCAAAACAGAGACATTGGAAATTAGCAGATAGCAGTGGGCAAGTGAAGCATTTTATAGCATAATTTTCAGATAGGCTTAGACATGGACATTCAGCCATCTTAATAAAGACCCAATTCCCTTTATAATGATATAATCTCATATACAAGTTCTCCGACAAGAACGCAAAGCTAAGCAATTGCTTATCCATCAAGTTGCAATCTAGAATTCCATCTCATGTACCTTCATTCCTTTCCATAAAAGGTCTTCCAGAAAGATTTGTTGTTCTTATTCATAAAACGTTTTGCAAAATCTAGGCAGTAATTAATTTGTTTTTCCAAAAAACGCCCTTGAAAAATTGTCTGAACTAAAATGTGAATCCCATGCTTTGCTCAGATAGTGATTGATCATGACTCCATATAGATCTCATATGATACATAATTTCCCAAAAGTACAACTTCCTCAAAGCAATTTCTACAAAGGTTGTTACAATTTCAAATGCACGCCTAAATGTTCCGTTTATCTAGAATTTCAAGTAGTATAGGATGGTTAAGGGGTTGGAGAGTCCATGGTTCATATAAACCCCACGTTAGGATCACAATTCCAAGGTTCGCATACCTTACAATCGGACCATTCGCTCTCAGTATCATATTCCAACACCCAGGAGACTCACATTTCTACTAAATAAGAGAAATTAGACGACAGAGGGAAACCTTAACGAAACCCTCCAAAATGCAAACCCAAGAAAATAATTTAAACCCAAAAGTATTAAGTTGCAAGAAATATCGTGAATGTAAAATTGTTGAAGTAGTTATAGAATCTTAGTAAATCCGCGCAAAACTGGAAGATCAACGGAGGGGGAGATAGGAAGCGTTACCACTTGGAGCTTATCCGAGACGAGGGACTCAATATCTTCGAGTATACCTAGGGTTTCTGTCTGCGCCATTACCGTAAAGCCTATCAAGACGACGACTATGGTACAAACAATCGAAGCGAACAATTCCTCTGCATTCTGATTCTGATACAAAGTTGCATTTTCCGTCCGCAAAGGGCTCTCATTTTCCCGCCAACCCCTGCAATTCCGGGTCGCCTTCTAACTGACCTCGAGGTCCATGACTGGAACTCGCGGGTTCGGTCCCCATACCATAGAGAAAATACCTTTATTTTGCGTGTGGGCTGGACCAAGTCCAAATAACAAACTCACTCCAATTTTTTAAAATGAACTAGATTTTTACGCAGTACGATGCATGGGTGAGAGAGAGATGGTAGAATTTGGTAAACATTATACATTAAGTTTTAATTTTAAAAATTAATGAATATTTATTCAAATTTAATGATGGGTCAAAATTATCTCAATTTTAATTATTTAAAATTTAAAATGTGTTTTTTAAAATTTTAAGATTCAAATCACCCTTAAACCAAAAGTTTAAGGTTCAAATTACATGTTAACCTTGTTAAAAAATTATTTTAATATCCTTAAAATAAAATATATTACTTTTTTATTTATTTTAAATTAATTATAAATATTTTTTATTTTTAAAATATATATAAATTTCTCTTAAAATTAATAGTTAAGAGTTACAAAATACAAATATGTCTTCCATTTTTAAATTTTTATTTTCACCCATTCAATTATTAGTTGATAGTTAAATCATATATATTGAACTAAAATATCATTCTTGATTTATGCTTTTAAATTTTTATTTATAAGTTAAATTTATCGGTCATACAAACTAATCTATTTAGTATTTTTTAAAAAATTAAATATAAAAAAAACTAAATACATACTCCATGTTTTAAAAAATATAAAATATTTTTAATCGAATCTTGCTTCAATAAAGTATATATTTGTCTTTAAAATAACACTATTTTTTCATATTTACTATTTAATTGAGTGTTTCACTCTAAATATAAATATAAAATATAATTAAAGTTTAAGTTTTAAAAATAAAGAGGTCTTTATAACTTTGACAAAACAAAAGGGATGTCAATAGATTTCACTCTATGATTTATTAATTTGTGAAAATTAATAAATTAAAACCCTTTTCTGTATTTCCACAGTCGGCAAATATGAGACTAAAATTTTAATGGGATGATGCCTGTAAGAAACGGCTTTTATTTTACAATGTACTATTCTTATATATGTATATATAACAATAGCATTGTTTTTTTTTATTTCTCACTTCTTGCAATTTGAAATATATTCTCATTTTTGTATATCTAACACATATTATTTTACTAAGAATCTTATATTCACCATTAATTTTTAATATGAATCCTACATAATCTCTCAAAATATAAAAATCTTATTAGCCTGTACAACTTGTTTAAATTTTTAGAATTTATAAGTATAGACCTCACTTATATTTTTTAATGGTAGGTTCCATACACCACTTTTTTAAACCACACTACTCTATTTTTAAAAAAATAAAGTTCACTAAAATCTTACATTCCATCTATTACCTGTAGAGTCTCAAATATCTGAACATATAAAAAAAATTATAACTAAGCCTAACTTTTGACACCTTTAATTTTCAAGTTTCTTCAAGTTGGTTTAACTACCCTAATTTTTAAAAATTATTTTATTTTATTTTTTTCTTTATTGAGTCTTTAAATTGTGTCTTTGAATATATTTTTATATATTTAATTTTAAAAAAGTTACGAGATCAATTCATTTAAATAACAAAAAATTTAAATAAAAATTATTTTAAAAATTTAAATAATTTTTAAACAACATTTATATTTAAATAAGGGTATTTTAATCCAACATACATGATTTAACTTCTTCTTGTTTCTTAAGGTATCTCCACAATTAACAAATATGAGACTAAAATTTTAATAGGATGATACCTGTAAAGAACGGCTTTTATTTTACAATGTACTACTTATATATACAGCATTGTTTTATAAAATTTCTCAGTTCCTACAATTTAAAATACAATAAAACTTATTCTTTTTCAAAATGTGTTACCTCATATATCACCTTAAGGAAAACAAAACATATATTATAATGAATTGTACTACAATTTATGTCATATTATTATTTATAAATCATAATTACAATAGTTGTAACTCAAGCAAATAATATAATTCATGTTATAATATCATTCATCAATTATATGTACAATCATTAAAAGTAACAAAATGATTATTGAGAAAAGATCATGTGTGTAGTGAAAGATAAATTCATTAATATCATATAATTAACTTAAATTCATTAATATCATATAATAACTTATAGCTCATAATTTTGTTAGCTCAGACTTGAGACAGATAACTACATCAATATTTTTCATAGGTGTTCAAATCATAATCAACTTTTGTATATAAATAATAAAATAATATATTTTTATACCTTACACAGGAGGTTGCCACAAGTTTTGGGACTACGGCCAAAACTTTTATATCCAAAAAATATGGATCAAATTTTTAAAACTTTGAGAGTATGACTTGTTAACATTGATATACAAGAAGTTTATTATTAATATATAATAAGTTTATCATTTAAAATTTAAAATTTACAAGAAATTTATCATTTATATATAATGGTATGTCATTGACAAATATAATAAACTGGCTATAATGCAAAATATAACAAATATTAGGCTATTTGTTTAGTTTAATCCTATAATATTAGTTATAGCTACAAAAACTCTACAATAATAAATATATAGAATTTTTTTTTTTGTATATCTAATGACTATCATGTTAATAAAAATCTTATGTTTACTATAGATTTTTACTATGAATCCTACATAATCTTTTAAAATATAAAAATCTTGTCATTTTAAAATTTTGACTATGAATCCCACCATATTTTTTAATGGTAGATCCCACACACCACTTTTTTAAACTACACTACTCCAAATTTTTAAAAAATTAAGTTTATTAAAATCGTTCATTCACTTCATTACCCTTAAAATCTCAATTCATACCAAATTTAAAATATTTAAATATATAAAAAATTTATAGTTAAGCTTGACTCTTGAGACATTTAACTTTTAAGTTTTTTTCAGGTTGGTTTGACTATTTCAAATTATTAAAAATTATTTTACTTTATTTTTCCCTTCATTAAGTCCATAAACTGTGTCGTTGAATATTTTTTTAACTAATTTATATATTTAATTTTTTAAAAAAGTTACAAGATAAATATATTTAAATAATAAAAATTTAAATAATAAAAAAATTATTTTTTAGTCATTTAAATAATTTTTAGACAATATTTATATTTAAATGAGGGTATTTTAGATGAACATACATGACTTAACATTCAACTAATGGCTGGGTGGATGAAAATAAAATCTTAAAAATAAAAGGGAGGCTTGCATTTTATAACTATTTATACTAAAAAATGTTCATATAGATTTTAAAAAAATAGAAGAGAGATATCATTAATTAAGATAAAAATAGACAAAATATTTTACTCATTTTCAACTATAAATTTCATATTAAAAATTTATTTTTGTAAGTCCCACATGTCCCTCTTTTACCACAGGGGCCATGCTATTCGTAACTTTTTTATTATATCATGTTAAAAAAATTAAAAATGAAAAAGCAAAAAAAAAAAAAAGCAACGCTGCATATCAAACAATTAAAAAGTAAAAAAAATATAAAAAGCCAGATGGGTATTGCAGATCTACAATACCCATCGACGGCATTTACAACAGATTATAGATTTAGTAGTAGATTGGATTGTTAAGGATTTTTTAAAAGAATTGTGTCCTTCTAATTGGGTTGTTAGACTCCCTACTTACTCTATAATGCTTGTTAGAAAATGGTCACCTTAAACCAACAGGTGCTTGTCTTAATAGTTAGGGACTTGGACGGCTTAATTTGAGATTTCAAGTTTGAATTTCAGGATATGTAGTAGCGCATTTGAACATATAAAGCATGTCTTGTCAATGATACCCACAAAATCCTCTAAAAGAGGGCCCCACCTAAGCGGGGATTAAGATTAGTCTAAAATGAATTGGGCAGACAATGAACCCAGTATATCCAAGTACTTTAGGATGTCAGGTGCGAAAGCAAAAAAAAACAAAAAGATCACCCTGAAATTCTAGATTCTAGATAGGTTTTTAGTCATTTGTTCCTTTGTCTTTTAGACTTTTTTTGTGTTGGTCATATTTGAACTCGTTTGGATGATTTCATGAAATCTCGTTTTTATTCATAAAAAAATTATTCAATTAGGTTTGAAAACATTTGAATTTGATCTCAGATAGTTCTATACAAAAATACTCAATCTTTTTTGGCCTAAATTTAAAACTACACAACCTCATTAAAAATACTTTGAATTTGAATTTTTTTCTTCAACTATCCTCATTCAATAAAGATCATTACTTTTTCAGGCCAACAAAAAAATAATGATCATTACTTTAATGTACATTTATTTTCTTTATATATAAGGAGAATTTTAGGTAAAAATTATTAATGATTTATAAATTTTTTAAAGCGTATCAAAAAGACCCCATAGACGGCGATTCTAATATTTCACTTAAGAAATTTCTCTTAAAAAATAAAAAAAAACTTTAAAACTTAAAATGAGGTCAACCACATTATCTATATTTGACAAAAATTTTAACATTAGATAATATAGCATGAAGTACTTGAATTCATTTGCAAGTCTCGATCCAGGTACTGACTCACCGTGGCCACTGACTTCAATATTCAACTCTCTCCCAAAGACTAAAGGTTTAAATCTAGATCCATGGAGTTGAATAGCAACTAGAAGCTACCATGGCTGCCCTTCATCATAACTCCATGAGTTCGGTGCCTTGATTGATTTACAGAAAACCAGATCAGGTGTAACTTTAAGAGAGGTACTACTCTTAGAATTCCTCTCAAAAATATTATACATCATTTGTAAAATAATTCGCATGGTTGATCATTTGTGAATATTCCAGCTTGTGGTTTATCAATGTATTCTTAATTTCTTAGTAAAACAATCCCCTTGCAATAATGGGGTCGACAAATTAATAAAAAAAAGTGTAGTATAGAATATAAACATTCATAAGAAAATGTTTATTTATTTAGTTTTTATATCATAAATATTTCAAATTGTGATTATTAATAAATATTAATGGTGAAAATCTTAAAATAATATAATGTCTTTAGAAACCAAAAAAATCAAAACAATAACAAATTTTAAGAAATAAGAACACAGTGCACAGCATTACCCATATTCTATCCAATAAAAAATATGAGAAAAGACAATAAATTAAGTAAGCATTCTATTCCAAAATAAAGTAATTAAAGATAATGAAACATGATATTTCATTTGATTAAGCTAGTAAACTTTTTTGGATAGAACATTGATGACGTGATACATTAGATTCATATAAAAATTTCTCTAACAATTAATGCAGAAATTAACCAGTGGTTTATTAAGATTTGCCATCATTAAAACAGGTGAATTCAAACATACGCACACATTGAAAGTGCACTATTAGAATGCACAAACCTAACACTTCCTTCCTCATTTACAAGATACATTTAAATAGCCTAGATAAATAAAAAAGTTTGTTAAAATCAGTTCATCGTTTAAAAGATATCTCATTTTTTCTACAAAAATCTAGACCTTCATGTCCTTTCATTTTAATCCTACACGTTTTATATATTTTAACTTAAAAAAAAATTCAACATAACTCCTAACTACTGTTCTATCTGATAAGTCCTTATAGCTCTAGTCGTATTATTTAGCAAAGGGGGTTCATATTTAGTTTAACAAACAATCATCAAAGTCCTTCTTAATTCGCTTTCTTAAATATAATAGGTATATTTTGGCCTTTTTTAGTAGTGTTAATCATCACTCTTAATTTCTAATTTTGCTAGAATCACTCAACAAAAGTTTCATATATTCTACAAAAAATGATTTATAAATATAGTAGCATAAAAAAGCTAATACAGAAGATTACTTAAGACTAGAAATGTAGATAATACAATGAAATCTGGCGATGAAAATGACTGATCTAAGGATGATTAGCAGTGTATACCATTTTGGGAACAGTGGAAGGGAGGAAGAAGACGAAGGGAATATTGGGAGAGAGAGAGAGGAATACGCATAAAATGACGACATTTGCAGTGTACTTCTCTGAATATTCTTCCTGCCCTCCTTCTCCAAGCATGTTTCCCTCATCAGTCCCTGTTTTCTCATCCCAGTTATATTTTTTAAGCGCTCGTTTTCTTTGAAAATTATTATATCAAATCCCTAATACATGGTTATGTTTTTGTTTCGTTCTAGCGATGTACGTCACACACACACACACAAGACAGTGACCTGTAGTACGATTGTTTCTTCTTCTGTATCGCAAAATATTGTAACCTTTTCTTTTTTGGAAAATTGCCAAAAAATATATTTCAATGTGTTTTAAATTATCGAGGCATTGAAAATGACACAATCACTTAATTAATTAAGATATTGATTCAAGGATTAATAAAACCGTTGTGAAATAGTAGTGATTAGGGACAACTCTAACTAGAAGCTAATGAATGGGGGCCAAATTGAAAATAAAACATGGAATGGGGGCCAAAATTTACTTTAAAAACTTTTGCGAACGAAACTTCTAAATGTTTGCCGTAAGAGCATTTAAGAGTGTTGGGGGAAGCGGGAAGCACCCTTTGTCCCCTTTGAATTCATCTCTGATCATGATATTAGTTATGAATAGAATATTATTTATTGAACCAGTCAAGATTAGATATTCTTCATTGAGATTTCTATGAAAACAGAGAACAAGTTAGGAGTTTTTACAGCTTTACGTTATTTAAACGTGTAAGCTAAAACTTAAACAAATTTTCTTACCGTTAGCTAGTATAAGGGAAAGGGCATGTATACGAAGAAGCATCTTGTACGTGCGTGGATTTTCTATTTGTGTGTGTGTGTGTGTGTGTGTTTTTTTTTTTTTCCCAGATTAGCTTTTGCCAATTTGAATGGACTCACAACACACACACACACACACACACACACTACTTGTTTGGTTTGAAAAGGAATCGGATGCTTCTAGCTTTAGCTGTTTCGGAAAGGGAATCAAAACTGCGTCTCTCGCCTTTTGTGGCAACTTTTAGACCTTTCAGTCAAAAGCTTCAATGGCACTGGAAATAGCTTATCATCAAAAATCCAAATACATGTTGATTTCTTTTTACTCTTTGCAAAGCCAGATGTATATATATAATAAATTACAAGTTCACGATCAAAAATCATATTTAAGAGAACGAGAAATTAGGTCAAGTACGTTAGTATCGCAAAGGCTGTGCATATAGTTCGATATTGATATGTAACAATAAGCTGCGAGTATATATGGTTAAGATATATAATATTATTATCTACCAAAGTTCTTAAACAAACACAGCGACTCTTTATACAAGTAACTCATTCCTTAAACAAAACATACAGTATTTCACATACTGGTGGTAGGGTGTATATGAATTATATCTGTGGGGCTTCTAATATTAAATAGATAGCTCATGATTTGGTTGGACCACATCGTTTGGAAATCAAAAGTTGTGTAGCGCCCACATGCACCCACACACGGAAAGAGCCAAAGCCAAAAGTGAATTAAGATGAGATCACTCGCATTATATCTATTAACCTGAGACACAACGCGAGCACGTGATTTTATCTTAAAAGGAGAGTGTGGCCATATTTCCTCCATATTCACCTTCCTCCTCTATTTCCCTTCAACTTCATGATGAGCACACAAAAGCCTGCATAGAACATATATATATATATATATATCAGAATTTAAAAAAAAAAGTAATACGGTGATTTGATCGATCTATAAATAAAAAATTAAACTTATTTCAAAATATTAAAATTATTACTTTACTGATGAGATTTTTTAAAATTGCCGCCTATATATATAAATTGAATCAAATTTATACCCTCACTCACATGGTGATGCAATATAATCTCAAAAAACGATCACTAACAAGTCGAATACTACAAGTTGACCAAAAAAAAAAAAAGTCGATTGCTACAAGATTGCTTAAGAAATCAACTGTTGCATAGAGTCTTATCATATATGGAAAGAGGTAAGGGCCTACGTTCTTTCGAATTGATCTCTGAATTATTAAAATATATTTTTAGATTCTGTGAGTAAAATCAAGTGTACTTGATCAGTTGATTGATTTAATCTGTTCAAATCCGGCATAAACCACTTGGTAGGTCAGAAACTGTTTTACCTAAAGAATGTATTAAGTGAGTTGATAATATATAACGGCGATGAAGAAGGAGATGAAGGTGAAGATCGATGAAGACAAATTCTAAAAGAGCAACGAAAAGAAGGAAAGAAGAATACACGTACACAGTAATGTCAAAGCAAACTAGGCGTCTCTTCTTCCAAACACTCTTGGCTTTCTTGACTTTTCTGAAGAGTTGGTCGTCGGAGTAGATGATGTTGCCGGCTGGCGAGGCCAAGTACACACTTCGTCGGACGGGAGGGGACCACAACCCACTCTTCTCGTATTCGAAATCGAACTGAGACGCATCGAAGAACTTCCCCAGAAGCCTTTCCGACACCGATTTTGACACCATCTGAGTTCTTCGGTGGCTTGCTGTTGCTGTGCATATGAGCGTCGGCGTCATGTTGGTTTCTTCGGGCGGCGGCCGCTGTGGCGATGATATTGAAGGAGAAGAATGAGAAGAGGAGGGTTCCAACAGAGACATTGATGCGAAGGGAATTGTTAGGACCCCAGAGAGACAATAATAATGATAACTGATATGATGTTTTGGTCTGATATAGCAACACGTCAGGAATTTGATGCTGTTTACGATGTTTGGTATCAAAAAGAGTAGTAATAAAGTTCTTATTATAAGAAAAAATAAAAAGGATACAAAGAAGTTGGTGTGCACTTAATTACTTTTCTAAATAAAAGGCCATGAAAAAAAACTAGTCACAAACTATATTATGTTTTTAGTTGTGTTGGATTTGAGGGGAGGAGGGCATCGAGGGGATGCATGGGAGGAGGAGAGAGTTTTAATATTAATTTATTTAATTTTGTTGGAGGAGAGGAGAAGGGGTGATTTTTAATAATTTTTTATTTGATTTAATAGGGGAGGTATTAACTAATTTACAATTATATTTTTATATCTAAGTTTTATATTTTTTAATTATTCCTTATGTAAATTAATCGTGTACCTTAACCCAAATTGCAAAGTTTATATGATTTTACATTTTAAAACTTTGTCAATAATGATGTCAAATCTACACAAGTTTTTTTAAAAAAATTAGAACTGAATTATTTTATTTGTTAATTCTCAAATTAATTTTAATATTTCTTAAAATATAAGGGGAAAGTTGTAACACACCAAAATTTTTTTAAAATAATTTAACTTAATCATAGTTGGGTTACAGCCACCCACACATTTTTATATCAATAATTTGAATATAAAATATTTTATAATTGGCTTCAACTCACATAATATAACATTTCAGATAAATTTTTACCTCCCACATGCCATTAGGTTAAATCACATTTGTCCATCCTTATACTCCCAACAAGTAAACTAAATCACGTTTGTTCATCCTTATACTCTCAACAAGTAAAATAAGCAATTTAGTCAATTTTCAACACAAACCAGTTATTTGTCTTTATAATCATGCCATTTTAACCAATACAAAGTAAACCAAATATTAAAATTACAGTCATCCAAATTGTACCAAAAATAGAAATAGTTTAAAAGACATGATTAAATTTATATATTCATATAATTGATAATAAATAAAAAGCCCTAATATTGATAATATAACACATTTTAAATTATAAATCAAATACCCAAAAGAGACAGTGGATCTATGCCACTAAGCCTCTGGGACTCCTCCACGTGTCACTCGTGGCTCTTCTCCTAAAAATTTTTTAACCACATAATGAGACTCAAAAGTCCCAGTAACCAAAGCCAATTTATGATAGTGTATACAAATAGTTAAGTGTGTGCTTATTAAGTGAAAATTAAAAATAATATAATTTCAACAATTATAAAAAATATTACAATACATACAAACAACCATCCTTATATCCCTCCATTAACCTCGAGCCATAGCTCTCACTCGGTGCTAAATTACTCGGCCAAAAGTAAATTAGCCCAAGCCCTTACAAGCCACCTATTAAGCTCCAATAAGGGTGTACCACGTGGCACAAAAATATAACAACAATAGCAAGTCTCCCAACACCTCCCACAATAATCAAATAAATTCATAATAATATTGCATAATTATACAATATTACAAAATTCATAATTTTCTCAATAATCACCCAATTAACATGAAGTAACACTAATCACAAATTAAAAGCATGGTTACCTTGTGGCTTTTTCAATAAATTATTCCTTACAATTTCTCTCCCACTACAATCTTCACCAATAATACAATCTACAAATAACATATTATTTATAAATATTAGTTTCAATTTTTGAAACTAATAAAATAATTCTAATAATAGAATTAAAAATATAACATAATTTCTAATCTCAATCTTAATACAAATCTAGAGTTAATACTATTAAGTAAAATTTTTAACTCCTCTTTTACTCATCAATAAACATTAATAATCTAAAAATCAAATTTTAAACTAATTTCTATTATCAAAATTTTCTTTTTATTTTATAAATTCACACCTAAAATACCCAAAAATTTAAAATTAAGTCTCTAGCTTAGAATCATAATCCTATAGCCATAGTAATTCATTTTTCATCCCAAATAATCATCTAAACGTCAATAAATCAATATATATTTCCAGATCTAGTCTAGAATTTGATCCATAAGCCACAAATTCAAAGATCATCAACAAATTTATACTCTAGAATATTTATTATACTACTAACAACCTCATAAACCATATTTATTCAATATAAATTCATCCCTTTTCCAGATCCTAAATTTTCTACCACCACAAAATTAAAAATTAAAGAGAAAGGATTACTAAAAAAAATTTTAGAACACATACTTAGTTTTGAAAAGCTTGAAATCACACCCTAAATATCCTATCAAAAACTCTTACCTTAAAAATTCAGATCTTTTGCACCGGCGACCTGACTCACAGACGCTCTCTCTGATCGCACACGAAAGAAAAGAGAATGAAGGAAAAATGAGAAGAGAACGGTGGTTTTAAAAAAAAATGAATGTGGGTCCCACAAATTTTTTTTATTATTTTCCTCTTTCCTCTCTCTTCTTTCTTTTTTATTATTATTATTATTATTATTATTATATAAATATAATGATTACACCCGCATGCCGAAAGTTTTCTTGTTCTTCTCGTTTTGTTTGTTTTTTTTTTACCTTTTTTCTTTTTTTTATAATAATAATAATAATTTAATAATTTTTTTTAATTTTAATTTATAATTATATCTTAAGTTAGATTTACTAAACATCTCCTACTAATTTGCTTACCTCTAAATATTTTTTAAAATTTTTATTAACCCAAATTGACTATTAAAATTTAAATTGAGATGTTACAAAAGTGATTCATTTAGATATTCACACATGTCACTGTGCCAGTCTCTCCCCTTCAGGCCTTCACCGTCAAACGCAAGAAAGAGGGGGCTTTGGATGATCTCTGGCTCTATGCATCGACCCTGTGCGTAGGAAAGTGAGGTCCATGGACCATGATGATGATGCCGATCGTAAGACTGATAGCTTGGGTGAGTCAACCTGTAAGAAGAAGGATGTCGCTAGCTTGGGTGACTCAATCTGGAGGAAGAAGGCTCTCACAAGTGCAGGACCAATTTTGGTACTTGGACATTCTTGAAATATCAATAATAAATTAAGGGTGGATTAATCATAAATTTTGACTCCCCTCCAAAAAACTTAATTTGGAGGGAGCCAAAATAAGGGGGAGGGGAAATTTTAGCTCCCCTCACCTCCACTATGTTTTTCTTAAAGATTTGAGATTTGAGCAAGATAAATATTAACAAAAAAATTGTGCTAAAATGAGTGTGAGTGTTTTTGGAGAGTTTTAACAAACTTTTATTTTAGTGAATTCGTCATTCCAACAAATATTGAGATCTTTAAAAATATTCATAAGTTTCATATATAGCAATATCAGAATGATAATCAAGGTAGACATTTAATTTGGAGAAATCTTTTTTTAATATATCCAATTATCTTTGGGAGAGGATCCTCTCCTTTTCCTTTCCATCCTCTCTCCTCCTCCTCCTCCTAATTTTTAATTATTTGATTTTAATTTGAATGGTTTAGATTTAATCTCTTATAATATATTTCATTTTATTTTTTTACTGTATTTTTTTATTATTTATATTCAATTTTACTAGTTTGATTTTTATTATTTATACTTTTTTATAATATAATATTTTAATAATAATTTTATAAGAGATCAAATTTGAACCATTCAAACCTTGATCTAATGCTTGTAAGGTAAAAGAAGGTAAGAGAATGCGAAGGGAAAAAGGAGAGAATCCTCTCCCATTATCTTTGGTATAATGAGTGGAAAGTTTGGTACCATCTACCAATAATTTTTTTTTTATAACATACTACAACAAGTTTAGAAAGTTATACTAAACTCTAATTAATTGAATTAAGTCAAGTACAAATCAAATGAGTGGAAAGGTTTTTTAGCAGTACATGAAGCCTAAATGATGCATTTATATGTATTCTTATAATTTGCTCTTCATTGTTGGCGCCGATCTTATCTCCAAGCACAACATAATCACAAGCATATGGTGGTGGGGACTGAGATCGACTGTCGCTGGAAATGGAACTTTATGATACAGCCGACGTTTCTGTCGCTGTTTGGTGCTTGTGGCTGCCATCTAAATAATTAATGTCTCAGGAAGATGCCTTTTATATTCTTTATTATTATTATTATTACTATTTCATTCCTTTTATATTCTAACAAGGAAAAGGAAAAACAAGTGGTTGTAGAACTTACTAAAATAGAATCATTTATTATTGATATTCTCCCTTTAAACAGTTTAATAATACCTTAAAGCTCAACAATAGTGTTGGTATGTCACGTAGCCTAGGCCTTTTGTTTTAGAAAGCCCTTAATATTCAAATTTCATGATCATCCTATAAAAGGTGATCTCTAATTGAAGTATCAATCTAAAGGATTCGGAGCCCATTTGGGGTGGATATTCATTTGGTTAACGTTCATCTCAACTCGTAGCTTGACGTTATGATTACTTACTTTCTGAGCGCAAATGAAGGCAATATTTTCATTCAAGTATATTTAAATGATAATGAATCTTTTAATTTTTCAACTTGTCTTGATCATCAATTTGTTTCCTCAAATTTACATTTTATTGATTTGGTTTCTTAAATTTGTTTTAGTTATTAATTTAATTTCTTAAATTTATCTCACTTATTGATTCTGTGCTTGTTATTTACAGATAAGGGAACACTGTTAAAATTTGTTGCTGACAAAGGTAACAAAATTTTGATTGAAACCATGTAAATTAATGAAAAAGAAATACAATTATTTTGGTAAAAAAATAAACTTTGGAATTTTAAAAAACAAAAGAAACAAAATGAAGTGTAAGGGACTAGGTTGATAAAATTAAAATTAAACTGTTTGCACCTATCTACATGTATATGTAACTCATCAACATATTAATTTGAGAGTTAGTCTATGTTTTAAAATTTGAAAGACTAGTATAATAATTTAAAAAAATTTAAGGGATTACATAAAAATAAATTTTAAAAAAATCAAATTAATAACTGAAACAAGTTTAAATA